TTAATAAAATACTTACTAAACCTAATTACCTACTCAAAATTATGATGTTTCGGGAGTTTTATTTTCCGAGATTAATGTAGACCAATTTTTTTTAATCATGTGATACCTTCTGCCTACCCTACTTCAAATCTCTGTGCACGCCTCTGGCACCATTTTATATGGATAAAGTACGCAGGTAGTCCAGTGCAAATATCTTACAATATTGTAAATAAATAGAAGTAAAATGTATCTTACTGGAAAAAGAAAATAATGTTTTTTAAAATATGGTAAAATGGATTACGGGCGATAATTCCAATAAATCAATTTTTTCTTTTTCAAATGCGCAGCTATCCTTATCTCGACCTTAAATCGGCCGTAATTTATTTTTCTACATTTTTGAGGGTATTTTCTTCCCTTTCAATAATTTTCGTTCTTACAAAATATTTTTTTCGTTTTCAAATAGTCTGCACTGGCCCTAAAGCTAACTGCCTCTGTTTCGTCTTTGGTTATTTACGTTTATTTTCCGTTCTCTAAGGACAGATAAATTAAGTCGTTTCGTGTGACATTAGTTTAAACAACGAGACGGATTACGTAGAAGTTTAGATAGACGAAATAGGTAGTATGGGAAACGGCAGGGACGGCCAGGCTGGTATGGACGGCCGGGCCGGCAGGGCCGATAGGTCAGCCCGTGCTCAGCGGGAGTAACAACCTGTTCCGCAACACCACCGCGGTACTTGTTATGCAACTAACAGCTCCGATGTCATTGGATATTACTGTATTGAGATTTTTTATTTTCTACTCGTAGACCGGTTTGACAAGTTCATTGTCTTCGTTGAGGTCAATAAACCTTTTTGACCGTCTTAATAGCAGCGAAACTAGGCTTCTGTCAAGGTAAATTAAGACGATCACTCTTACTTTTGTTTACATTAAAGGATTTGTTAGGCGGTGTCCAAACACATGAAACGTTAAGGGTTTCTAAGGTGCAAAGCATTAAGAATTCAATAAACCGAATGAAACCGCTTTCTCGATAGCACACAATGCTTGGAACTAATCCAAACGTGAATACAATGGCTTTAAGTGAAAGGACCAAATAAACTTAAAAATATATGATACGTGATTGGTTATATGGGTAACGGTGCGGCGCAGGAGTGGCCCGTGCTGTGCGCGTGCTGTCAGGACGATTGTATGGAGATCGACCGTTACTCATGGCTGCATAAGTTCAAGAGTTGAACGAACTATCACATCAACTTTATAACAATAGGTGTTGTTACAATAGAACCAATGCTAAGCTGCTTATTTTCCTCAGATATTAATCATTTCAGCAAGTAACGTGAACAGGCAGGCAGAACCAGTGCTGCACTGTGCTTCGTGTCACAGGTCAATATACAAATAGTTGGTTCACTTGTAAAGAAAAATATCGCCTTTACCGAATTCATCTTGATCTAGATGTTAACTTTATGTAACGGTGGGGTGTTAACCTTTAATAACGTGGACGTGACCTTGAACGTAGCCTTTGGGTAAATCCCATGTTTAAATAAATTATTCTGGCATGGCTGTTCATATCATCAAGCAATTATTTATGCTTGACTCATTATTTTAAAAACCTTTAAATTGCTTTCAGTCAGGGCTTGTTCACAAATTAGGTCGCAACGACAATTTTGTTAACGGCCGACACTTCGCTCACGCGCTTGTGCTTTAACAAAATATTGACATTATTTGATGACGAGCAAACCCTGAGTATTTGGAGAAAAAGACAAGGGAGTGTTAAATTCTTAGTTCACTACCACTACCCCAGTGATGATCAGGAGTACTTATAAAAGGTAACGCGTCATCAAGTAGAAGAGGTACTGTATCCATGCAACTGCCTACAAGTGACCAATTGCAATGCCAAATTCAATTTGCAATATCTTTTGCACAATTATGTAGTGACATTATATTCCCATTAAATGATGGCACTTCCATCCAATTAGTTATTGCTGGCAAAAGCAGATCTGACCTGTTCCTGGTAATTGAGACATGCCGCTCAGAGGATCACGCAGGGCAATCCTCGAGTGAAATCAGTGTTGGCAATTGCCTTGGCCTCTTGTTCAATCCTATTCAGGTACGTGACGATAATATGGATATAGTTCCACTATTTATTTATTTCGTAATAGAAAGCTTTTTTTGGTAACTACTAACGATATCATTATTTACCCGTGATGGTACTTAGACTAACGGTTCACTTTAACATTTCATTAACAGATTTAATTAATTCTAGATACACGTAAGTTAAGTGAGTGAGATTACAATTTTTCGTCTTCATGTCGTTACTATGCAACATAAAAATATGAAAGGCTTTTCATTGGCACTTTTACAATTTTTATGATACCTAACGTAGTATATACTAAACACGAAATCTGTCGTGTGCACGCATACTCGTTCTTTTACTTGCGGCCACCCGCACATACTGTAAACCATTTAGAGAAACATATTTATTGATTAATACTTCTTTGACTTTGGTTCCTAATACTATAATATCATCACAGGTAGATAAGGAAAACCATCTAGAAGGATTTGTAAACGTGAGTGCTGTTTATATTTCTAATATGTTTTATTAGCACAGAACCTGGCATTGCCCCGAAGAGACGGGTGATGACTACACAGAGTACACGCGACCACATCACTGGACGTATATTTGTCAAGCAAGGTCATGTCGCCGCATGAGCATTATATGAATGCCCTTTAATTGATCAATAACTCGCCAATGAAATTATAATCGACTGAATAATTTAAATTATCTATGTAGATATAGGTATTTTTATAGCAAAAATCGTAGGTGGAAGAAACGTCACAGTAAACAACAGTTTCCTAAAATTAAATATCTACATCTAAAAATAAACGGCAGTCTATACAGATCTTACCTTAAAAATTGGATTGAAAATTCCTGCGGCGGTAAATATCCGACTGGGAATGAACAGCAAAACACGTTTGATAACTGCCCGCCTAGAGGAAATGTTTTCGTGGCACAAAAATTACGTTAATCAGAGCAAAGTGAATTATTTATAAAGTATTTAAATTAGGTGCCGAACTGGCGGAGGCGGAATGGAGATGACAAAAACAATGACGTAAAGACAGTATATTCTGTTAACACTTGGAAGAAAAAGGTGCTAATCATTTAGCCATGATGGTATAAAAACCAGAAGTGTTTTACGCGACTGGATATCATAAGTCCGCGTCAAAAAATTATGTGCAGCATTAATTTATGAAGAGCAATTTAAAACTGAAAATTGTATTTGAATTTTCGATTTCAGTCATTGAATGCGCGTTGTTTGGTAAAGTAAATAATACCACTGTCTGCTAATGTAATTCTAAGCAGAATTAACTATTTCTCAAGTGTACAAGTTATACGTAATCCTGCTGTGTACTTATGTAATTAATGTGCTAAATTCTAACCACGACTCTGGAGTTCTTTGCCTTATTTGAATTTATATTTTTCTGATTAAAATTCCACGTTAGTTTGCGAGTAACTCGCAAGTTAATCTCAATTTTGTTTTGCGTAATAACATCGCAAATGATGGTTGTGTAAATAATTACTTTATTTATTGGAAAATAAATTTGGTTTGTTTGCAAGTATCGGAGTCACATAGAACGCGCCAAATCCGTTTCCAACGAGTTAGGAGTACAGATATGGTCAACATTATGACAGTTATGAGCACTACAAACTAAAGTATTTGCACAAGAAGTTAACCAACAAAGATCTCGCTAACAACTTCGATACTTGTATCCACGTTACACCTTCACTACAATCGACAGTTTACTTATGTTTCGTACAAGTACAATTGAACTAAGATTTGATAATACGATGTTTTATCTCTCAACTGGCTATCGTTAATAGTCCCCCACATGATTTTAAACTTTAGACGATTAGTAACATAAATAGCTTCAATAGAGGACTGACCGACAGACAGACATTTTTTCTTTAATATTTAAATATTTTGTTTTGATGTTCAAACGTGCCTTCTTGGCCTAATCGAAATAAATGATTTTGACTTTGACTTTGACTCTGGCTATAGTATTTAATATAAGTTAACTTTTCAGTTACAAGTCATAAACCAAAGGCTCACCTTGAAAATTATAATAAAAATGTTATTATGATTTGTGAAAAAGTTTGTTTACCCGTTGTTGTAGGGAAAAGAGCTGTTGGTACTACGTGAAAAATATTTAGAAAATAGAGACAACGGATAATGCGTGTTCCACTGAAATTTTAATTTTCGTTTATGCTAACAAGTTTTTATGAAAGTCCAAGTAGGCACAAGTGCGTGAAGCCGCAGGCATGCCATTAAATTTACAAATTGTGGGAACTCTGAGACAAGTGGGTAAATTCTCGTAAGATAGCATATTTAATAGGTAATTTACATATTGTTATCACGTTGGGCCGCCGGTTCAGCAGAACATTGCAATTCTGCTGTTCCAAGTCACTGCGGTAACATACGACGTGCTTACTTTGAAAAAACAACCAATAAATTATTTTGTACAACGTCTAGTTGTCGCTGATAAGTGATAATAGGTAAACTAAACGTATTTTAGAACGATAATAAAAATAATGTACGTGCTTATTAAAAAAATATTTTTTAACATATTGTTTGTTCTTGAAGTTTATCTAAAGGCCGCCGCCTGTCGAAGCTCGGAGATAGTGTATGTAAGTAGGTACGTTGGCTACGTCTCGATTCCTGGCGGTGATAAGCACGTGTTGTTTAACAACGTCGTTAATACAACGATTTTAATGAAGATTGTGTTAGAGTGCCATACGTGTGTACGAGATAAACCGTTAATTTATTGACGATGTCGTTCCATACCATTACGCAACACTCATTTGGTATCACGTTTTTACGAATTAAAACTGTTTTAGTGACTTTCATTAGGGATGTGACGATGGCGACGTCTTAATATGTTGTCATGTGTATTTTGTAAGGTAAGTGTATCTATCGCGATTTAATATGAAAGCTTGGCGTATTATTGTGTATAAAAAAGAAGGTACTTACTTCACATTGTTCCTCATTTCGTAGTTTGCAGAGATGTATCCTGCGTCTCCACTGGAACAAAAACACACAACTTATTTATTTATCCATACACCCACGTGATATATAACGGAGTTTTCTACATGAAATTAATTTGAAATTTTCGAAAGTTGCAATGCGACCCCTAAGTTTCACTTGTATATTGAAAGTGTAAACGTTTGTGGACACGATAGGAAGTAGGTACGAACAGTGGGTCCTTGATTGAATCGTGTTTCTCGGTCATTGCGTCTGTGAATCAGGGTGCAATATCCACTAATTATTGTATAGCGGAGACAATGGGCGCGCGGAACACGATTGACATGCCGCGACGACTGTCGTATCTATACTGTCGCCGCTTCTATTAATGTTGTTATAGAAGAGGTAGTCTCAGCCACAACCGACATTAATATCGTTAACGTACAATATAATCTTTAATAGAGATCGGTTTTCTAACAGTGAGAGAAATTAGAAAATGGGTCCACGGATGAGTTAGGCGATTACTGCGCACCTGTCAGGCCAGTCAGGAAAGCCGACATACATAAGCTGTCATGAGGCAGTGAGGCTTGTTAATATCAGCATTAACACGATACTCAATGATCCGTTTCCTACTTTACATTGAAACACGAGTCTACGTAATCTTCTACGTAAATGGTAGTTGAAGTGGTGCAGCGAATTACACACTTCTTACCTCATGCATCTGTGTCATTCAAATTAACAATGACTTTAAAACTCGTCTATGAAGTCGAAGAAGTCTATGATATCCATTTAGATTACTTCACTATAAATCAATGAACGTAAAAAATATATCTTAAATAAATATATAATAAACATTACACTCGCTAAACTAGCTTGTTTGAGTGTTTATGTCTAAGCTATGTTTATTTCTAAAACACTATTTTGTGGTATCACTTTTACTAAACATGTGTTGAACAAATGTCTTATTTTTTGTACCTATTAAGACAAATGTCAAAAAATCGGAAATGACGTCGACCGGTAATTTGGGTAAATAGACGATTATTCTCAAAAGTTTGTCTCAAATAATATTTCAATGTTATTATAGATTCTTGTGAAGAGTCTACTAACCCTTTTTATCAAAGGATCAAATTAAAGTATAAGTACTAACTTTTATTTTATTTAGTCTTATTAGTCCGCTGTGATGTTAGGTACATTGCTTTAAATGTGACTAAGTATACATATTCAGTTAGCACCTTAGAAAATACAGGTGGTACATTGTTATTATTCCGATAACCAACTATACATTAAGTTACATAGTTTAATATTCTTCACGACTGACCATAAATAGAGGTTACTATGAAAGTTTCCATACGAATAAACCTACGCTATTCGCTTTACGCTAATAATAAAACACAATGGGATGTGGAAAATATTTTCATAATAGCCACCTACGCTTTTGTGACCAAAATATTGCCCTAATTTATAATTTTGGTACTTAATTATATTTACACCGAACATATTTGCCTTGAACTAAAATAATTAAGAAGCAGGTCAAAGCATGAGAATGAAATAATGTAGAACTAAATGATAATAATACATGTATAATGAATGCACGGAATTAAAATCAAGCTCAGTGATATGTTATTAATGCGTATATACAACAGACGCAGTGCAGGTTGATGATGATATGATATGTCAGTATTAACCTGATAGATAACTTCCACAATGTAAGGTTGTGCTTATATAATGTATACCAAACCATCGTATTTGTCCATTCATTATTTACCCACCATTAAATTTGAATGGTGCGTGAATATTATTCAAGAATAACTTAAGTATTAGGTTCTGTACCGTACTACTGATTCACGTACTGTATAAGTACATAAGTAAAGGGTCAGTGCATAAGTCATTCAGTCATCTGCTGTATCATTTCATTACAATAGGGGCTAGTTAATCTTTTTATTGCCATGGCTATAAACTTGATGTATGTATTCTACTATTTTAATAACCAATAGGTACAATGAGACGTCCTCTAAATCCTAATTCTTAGACATAGCATTGTATGGAATCAGGCCAAATATCAAAACCATTCCACTAACAAGACTGATTATAATTATAATGAACTACAAAATGTATTTAAAGAATTTGCCTTTTAAAATCTAAACTATTCGTCTTTAGTAATAGCGTGTTGGCCAGCAATATTTCCTAGCATGGTCCTACATTATACCATAAAAATATCAATTACCGACTACTATGTTTGACCGATACAAACTCTTATTACGATTATATGGCATACAAAGTACGCGACGTCAATGTTTCCGCAAGCTGTGATAAGGTGGTTAGAAATTATTTACACTTTGAAAACACGTTTTCCTAAGTGGCGCATAAACAGTATAATAACATACCTAGAACGTCAACTTGCCTGTCACATCTCTCCCACATTATAATATTGTGCATAGTGAACTTCACCAAGGCCGACATTTCCTTTCACATGTTACTTATCGATTCATAAATCATAATGCATTCTAATTATGCTTTCGACGTGATGCAACCCCTTTTACACGTGGTAGCATAACATAACCGCTCTGTAGAAATTATTATTAACAGCCCCTAAGAAGTAGTTAAGTCGATCTGTGACTGTGTGAATCCCGGAGGCTTAGACTAAAGTGTTATTAAAACTGCGAGATAATTAGTTTCCCTCGCATTAAGCAGGATGCGCTCAATTTGTGCCAAACTATCGCCTCGGAACACCTCCTGAATTAGGTAAATCAGCGTGTTTCATCAAATCAAAACTTGGTAACGAACCACATAAGTTATTAACGCTCCATGTAGCAGTCAGCTACTTGATAATTAAGTCGATTATACTCATCGCGCGTGTATCTCGTACTCGTACGTACAATTTGTATGTATGTTGATAACAAATTGTGCGTAACATTTTTCTAGAAAGCAATGCATAATTGCCAAGTTCTGCACACGATAATCACGCCAAGAATGTGTTCTTGGTGTTCACTACATTGCCAACTACCCATGGCTTGCATGAAATCAATTAACAGAGTACTTATTTAATTTAACCAAAGCCCATGCACAAATTTATTTTTAAAATGCATCAAATAAGGTGTAAATACTAACAGGAGCCGAATTAAACATTGTGAAATACAGTTTTCTCATTCTAGTGGAGATAATTTTTGTAACACTTCTAGTCTATAAAAGACAAGTTTACTTACTATTGATATGAAGAGAAACCTACAAAACTGGGTAGGTTTAATACTAGTTTTCTATACGAGTAAAGATTAGAACTAGCTACACAAACCAGTGCACCAACAACGTTGACAGACAGACAAACTAACAAACTTTCCCACTGAGTTTTGATCACAACATTTCACTGCATGGCCGTGAAACTTAGAGAAACGTTGTCAACTTCAATGTTGTTCAGAAACTGTTTAAATCGATTTAGTTAGCCACTTGAATGTACAACCAATACTTGTGTAGTAATAATTTTGGCCACAAATATTATGATCTTGAATATACAAAAATTTAAAATAGATTTCCAATGTTCATGAACAAAAGAGCGTAACGTTAGAACAATCAGCAACCTAGTTCAATTTTAAAAATAGCACAGTAACTTGTAAATATTACAAGTTTGGAGTAAAATCTAACTACAGAGCTTAACCAAAGTCATTAATTAGTAGTAGCTACTTTAAGTTAAGTACGAAGAAAACGTTCATTAAAAATATTATCTACTGAAACCTTAATCTCATCTGGATGAAGATTAAAGCAACAAAAGTTCTTCTACGGTCGAGGTCTAGGTTTATTAAGTTTAGTCTGCAGCCTGCAATAATCCTCTTAGGAAGAGGTACTTTGTCGTGTAAAATTAACTATTACACGTGTTCCCTTATTTCACCGCAAAATATCGCATGTTTTTTCTGGCCCACGTATATTTTTCAATCTTATTATTAACGTTAATGGGATAAATATACACAGATAATTAAAAATCTCTGCCATGATATATATAAAGGTCCTATTTATTTCATAATTAAATCTTATGTGACTTGAATATTCCAGGATAACCCAGTAGAATATAAATAGATAAAATAAAATGGGATTCGAGAAAACTGTAGTGTAAAATATCCTACTTTTATTTAGATACCAAGCAATCGTTAGGTACCCGTTAATTTTTTTCTGTTTTGAATTCTGAATATTAAAAATATGTTCTCTAACTTTGACTCGATAGCTATCTAAGTAAATACTTCATGTACAATCGGATAACTAGGCGGAGAAGAGAATAATTTCAGTGAAACAATTTAACAAGTTAGTAAGCGCACATACCAACGCTGTAATGCGCCGTAGTACTATGAATGCAATAGTTTAACGATGTTTACGCCCGTTGCAAGTATTAGCAATAAAGCAAATGCGTATCTAGATTGGTCTTTTAGATGTCTCTCGATTCGGGTGCCTGTAAGTAAATAGATATACAATATCGCTCAATTGGACCAGATGGCCGCGAACCGAATTGTGACTGACGTATTGAAACGATTGACGAAACAACTATTGTAGCCAGCTTTAGTAACAATATGCCCATTATAATACGATCGTGAATAATGCTTGTTCACTATGGTTATTGCCTCCATACAAACTAAAAACCCAAGAAAATTTATAATGAGGCCATTAAATAACGGGTCGATCGAAGTTTTCAACCCCTTAGCGTACCTTCGAGCCGAGCTATGAAACATTTTTTATCAGATGCCTTTCTTGGATAAGAACCGACTAAAATCTAGTAAGCTATTAAGTACTTCCGGAGATTTCGTGGCGAAATAACCGGTTAGGTGCACTTTTATATACTTTGTTGCAATTATAATCGGATCGATAAACGCGAAGTAAGTTTCAGTGTCTATGTGTTCGGTAATGCATATGGCTGAACGGCTCATGTTACTAGACGTAACCTCTTACATCATTCGTTTTCTCTTTTCCTAAACTTCAGATCAGAGTACGCTCTCACTGTACACTAGTCGTACTAGTGGTCGGATATCACGCAAAAAGGTAATAACACAAAGTGCTCGATAGCTATGCGCCTGTGCACCAGTTCTTATGAAAAATACGCACTTACTAGTTACTATTGCGCACCATATCCAAGCAATATCTCAGCATGTGGCATAATAAGTAGCATTATCATTTCATTCCGTTTGAATATCAATTTATTACGTTATAAAATTAAGAGCAATTATTTTAATTCAAAACAACTCGTTAGATGCATTGAAAAGAAAACTGAGCGCGTGTACATATTACCTATTGAATTAATACATTACAATTACAATTGCTAAGATTTGTATCAATTTTATTCATTATGATATCATTTAATCAATATTACGTATGTAAGACAGAAGAGCAAGACCGTTTAAGCAGTCGTTATCGATATGTATATATTATATATATATACATAAACATATATTTGCATAGTAAAATGATAAGTTGCTAGTACGAAATCCTATATCCTTCCGCCAAAAATAATGTGTACCTAATCAAATAGTGACAAGATATTTAAACACCTGCACAAAATGTATATGGTATTTTAGAGAAAATGTTGTCTTAGACTTCACAGGTAGATCCGTAGATTAAGATATATTTATACCGATATATATACCTACATAACAAGCTATAAATTGTTAAAAAGCGTACAGTGTATAATGCATTGCGAAGTTCATGCTATATAGGACACGGATGCTTTTAGTACCGGCGTCAATTTTACGATGATGGTACACTCTCTGAAAATATAGACATTTTTATGATAGGTATTAGTAATGACGCAGACGGTCCAGGAGATATCTACGGTACAGTTTGTTAAGTACTCTTTTCAAGTGGTTAAATACATATAAATAAAATAGAATCATATTTTTATACTGAATGAATGTATGTACGTATAAATTATGTATACGCTTGGAATAGATTGCTTAGTATGGAACTTTTAGGGTAGGCCTATATTATAATCTGATGTGAAAAAGATGTATAGTACCTACCATAGAGTTATTAAAATAAATCAAGAGTGAAATCTTAAGTGTTTATGTAATTCATTCGTACAAATGATTCAGCGGAAGAATATCAATTTAATATTTGAACATAACTTACTTTTTGAACAGGTTTATAGCTTAAGAAAGTCTACAAGTCTAGCTTTTAATAAAACAAATTAATTAACTATCTTTCATGACGTTGGCCTACAACCCGACCGTTTTGTGATTGATGTATGATAATATTTGAAATGGTATTCTAATGAACTATTACTGCATTCTTGTCTTGTTCATATAAATTTTCCTGAAGACTTTATTTATTTTGTCTTCTTTCCCACCTGTCTGTATTAACTTTCATACTATATGTATATCTCGATCTAAACACTTTCGCTGAAGGCAATGTTATGTCTGTCATTCAATAAGGTCAACCATTATTTTTCTTTTATTTTTGTTATGATACAAACTTCTTTCTAGTATAATATTATGACTGGCACCTAAGTAAACAAAACTGCTATTTAAATATTAGATGAAACGCCCAGTGTTTCATTAATATGGAAATCAAAGCAGATAAGACTAAACTATTGAAAACTAACTTTCGATTTTTGGTACCTCGAACATTTGAAAGTTTGAATCGTTTAATGTTCATTAGTCATTTAAAATCGATTTTGGATCCTATGTTTTATTAAGAATAGAAAACGGTACTTTTATGTACCTATGAATTGCAATGCGCAACGGCATAAAATTACGTCTGGGCAAGTAAATATTACCTACATTTTACCGTTACTTTGAAAATTAAACAAACTAAAAGCAATTTTCCGCAAATGAAAACAAAGTAAGAAACATGCTGTAAAAAGGATATCATAAAATGAATTAAATTATTTATATTTGAATAAACCTTTTCGTATTTCTAAATGAAAGCACTCACAATTGCATCTCAAAAGCAATATAGGTTCCTTTCGAAGTTCTTTTTATTTTTTATCCCTTTGACATACACGTACGTGCACTGGCAAATAATTATTATGATATATATGATATGTATTACCTAATTACATTTTATCGCCAATCTTTATTATTGTTTTATACGTTATACGTGATTTAAGATAATTTGCTATATGGACTGTATATATTTTGAAACTCAGAAGAAGGAAGAAACAATTTGTCAGGTCTGTATTGAATGAATTATCATGATATAATATAACCACTATTCTAGGTTTTTCAGAAATCATATATATTCTACTTAACCCAAAGGTTGACTGCTTGTATACCTTATTTTGGGTACAATAAAGAGTTAATATAAAAAAAAATATATTTTACCACAAATAAAAGAATGAAGTCCAATGTGTACGCTTGACAAACATAATATAGGCACACAAGTGTTAAAAACGTAACGTTTGTAAAAATAGTATGATCTTAAGTCCTTAGCTACTAAGTACCTATACTTATTGCTCCAAAACATTAAATTTGTTTTAAAGAAATACGTCGAGTTACAAGTCACCGTGTATATAATGAGTTTACTTTGCATGGTCAATACTTGCCTCGAAATATCACCAATAATTAAAAAGAATGAGCCACACTTTATGATCATCGTTGTCCCTGCATTATACTATTGTATGCCTCGCGTAACTTGCATATTAAATTATTGGTGTCATTAAACATTCATGATCTGTTTTAAATGATTTATTATGAAACAGTTATTACTGTTCTGATGTTTTGTTAGATTTTATCAAAATGGGTCAAACTTGCGCGTTCGTCAATATATCGATAACATTTTAATTTGACTAAATTTCGCGACTTGTCCAAACTAAATCGATAAATACGACAATAATTATTGTAATTAATTATGGTAGAACATACGATTCCCTTGCACTCGTCATATGTCTACATAGATGTAATATATGCATAGATATAATTAAATGTACATTTTTATTGTATTACTTATTAGCGAACCACGACGTCTTCGCACGAGTGCTAATCATTAACTTTTCCAATAGTTTTTCATGGAACTTTGACCTTACTATCACGAGCGCAACAAAAGCCAGTAATTCCAACCACCTGCTAATACTAGCTTTTGAATATTTAATACAGTAATTATTTGTTTACTAGTTTCCCTTTTAAATTTCGGTGATTTTTGTGGTTCTCAAGAAGTAACACACTAAATAGCACTCACGCTAACTTTCAGTTTAATACCCGGTAGTAGCTAAGTCAAACGCGGGCACAGGTTAGTTGAATAAATATAATTATCATTCCAATTAGTTGTATTGTGATTAGTCAGTTATTTAGAGGTGCGAGATGTTTTATTAAGTTATTAATATTTGTGGAGACAAATGAAGTTTTATTTCTATTTAATTTTACTAAAATTGTGCCGAACTAAAGCAAAAATAATTGAGTTATCAATATCAATTTCGGGTCAAAGAAAATAATAACGTCACTTCGAATTGCAAGACTCAGATTGTTTGACCGGTAGATATAACAATACGCGCTAAGTACGGATATCGAAAGTAAACATTAAGTGCAATCCTCAAAACAAACGAATTTTCACATTACAAGAAAAATGTTAAGGAAAATATTGTAGTACATTAGTAAAATATATTTGGATGTTTAAACAATGCCTAACATACTTTTTCGATAAACGTTATTTGTATAAAGGTGTATTTATTTAAACGTTATTTGTATATACATCTATAAACTAAACATATCGATAAATAATTTGTTTGCCACACAATGTAATGAAAATATAACCACCAAGCCTCAATAATACACGCTTATTTTTTTTACTTATTTTAACTATCTAGATTTTTCACTTACAATTAATCCTGCGGGTTTATAAGTTTTATAAAAACTCTTGTGCGCGTCTATACCTTTATTTTATATATTAAGTACGCCACAATTGGTCTTAGTGCACTTCTAGACCACTAATTGTTTAAAAGTTCAACACTTAATGCAACACAAAACCATAAAACTTGATTAGGTAGGTACTTATTAATCATTACACTTTGTCATCGGCGCTTATCTAAAACGTTAATTTATTTTCTTTGACGTAATAGAACAAGCTAAGAACAATGATTTATTACAAGATTGCATCTCGTTAACTTTAACTGCATGTTGATAACTCAGCATTAAAAAATAATGAAAATTTGCGGCTCTCGTTTTAAACAAAAATAAAAACCAAGTCGCACATCGCAAAGCATTAAAAGAACAGGGAAAGGGAAGAATATTAGGTGTTAGTAAGGAACTTACCTCATTGAAACCGTGTAGCGTTGTTTTAGTTAGCGAAAAACTTACGCGGGCTGCATGCAGCGGCACTACGAGTGGCGGCTGGAGCGTGTCGCGAGCGCGGGCGTCGCGGGCAACAGGCGAGCGAGGAGTCGCGGCGGTACCCTCCGTGTTGTGACTACGCGCCCCCACAGGAACACCGGCGCTAATTCGAAGGCGCGAAATGGCTTCTACTCGCAGGACTCGAGTGTTCGGCTTAACAAGTCGTGTGCGACAGCGGCTCACCTGAGTTGTCGACTGCGGTGTCCGGTCGGCCACTGCTTCGTTGTCGACCGCGGTGCGACTGAGTCGCGCGCCCAGTCGCCACTCTCTTTTATACTTTTCCCCTTCTCGGAGGACCCCGCAACATTTTTCTTTTCTGTGAAAGACCTATAAGTCCTGGGTACCGTTGACCCGTGACGACGACGGCACCTACCGAGCCTATCCTTGTAAAAGCATTATTGTCTCAAAATTCATAGGTCAAGAGCGCTCGACGTGCTACATAAGTTACGTAGATGGACTTAGCGTAAATACAATGATATAAAATAATAATTCGATAAATACTGGGCGCAAACTAAACTTTCATAAAGGAAAACGTAATGTTAGTATATAGAAATAAATAATTCCATATATTTTACAGTAAGTCTGTAGGCACAAGCAGCCTGCATTGAAACATGTAAAACTACGAAACGTGATATTGAAGTATTATTGTGTTGTAAATTTTGTACTTATTTTACATACATTCAAAAACACTCACATAACTGCACGTTTCTTTAAAACGTAACCAAATATTGTAAGAATGTGAGTGTCGCTTGTCGCTTAGGATACTTATTTATGGCGCCTGTCGTCCGATACTTAGATTTCTTTGTGATAACAATGCAGCAATTGCTATCAATGTTAAATACTTGCAATATAAGTATAAGTAATACATGGTTCACTGACATATTTGGCATAATATGTTTATTATAAGATAGATGATGTCCTAATTATGTACAACTTTATGTAAATCTCTCACGGCTTCTCATTTTCTCAGCATCGGCTACTACTTGCACGTTCCGGAAAATGAGCATTTATTTAATCGTTATTAATGTCTTCATTTCCATAGACAATTTTGCGAAACAAGGCCACTTTAGGGACCTTTACCGTTAGGTACTACCTTTCTTCTTTTTTACCAATTTCAACATGACACAATTTTGCTCCGTATTAATTTGATAGGACATTTAAGTAATGCTTTCTTCTATATAGCAGTCTCTGTTAAGACGTTAGTATGAGCATTGAGCAATATGAGCATATTTCAGGACGCCTATAAGGTTTAATCAAATTATCATCGTGCAAAACAATGTGTAAACTAATAAAAATAAATTGTTTAAGCTTAACTCACGCTTAATATATAAAATGTAGACGCAAATTGAGAGTAAAGGGCACACATGATCTTTATTACATTATTTACAAGTATAAAAATGTTTTATTGTGATTGGAAATTAATGTTTTATGTTTGTACTGAGCTGTGGCCTGCTTGAATATAGACCTCCTTCAAAGTATCAAGAATTTTGGGTTAATATAAAATAAAATTTAGTGAACGAAAAGGTTAAACTGAAGTGTAATCCTGTTATTTTAGGGTTCATTTATTATGGAATTAAGAACCAAGATGGAAACATGGACACGGACTTCCTACGTGGCTACGGAGTACTTTTTTGATGGGAAAAATCATACAATGCCTTCGCCCGCCTTGGATGAGATGAAAGGGAGTGTCGAACTCTTACTGATTAAACTAAAAACCACTGCGTTTCTCTCTTCGAGCCGGGGCCCCGGCAACCCGTTAAGTCCTCCGGCATAAGCCCTACTGGGCCCCTTATGTGGTGGTTTGATGGCTCTTTAAAGAGCTCGGGTCTGGCACTGGTCGGGCGGCGAGTTACCCATGCTCGCCGTCCGCAGGCCCGTGCTTGCGCTGGGCGGAGATCAGTGTCCCTCGCGACGGCTGGGGCGTGAGGAGGTTCGTTACCTCACGCGCCCCGCCTTCTCCTTAGCTACCATGACTGAATTGCAGAAGCGGCCCACGCTCCCTACCATAGTCTGAACCAGAGCCGGACGCGAGAGGTTGCCGTTGCCGATCATATCCCTGAAGATACGGCGGTACTCAGCAAACGCAAGGCACACCACCACCGTATGTTCCACCGCGTTACTGACTACTCTGACGGCTTGGTAACGTCGACACTATAAGACCTCATAAGGACACCATGGTGATACTACCGGCGCAGCAGGCTTGGCTACTTCTAGCATAAAGGGTAAAGTAAGTATAGGTGGCCATATAGGGAGCTGTCACTCGTAGCTATGCTTTCAAATTGGAATCTAAATCACCAGTCAGCCGCCATTTTAGAGTTGTCTATTCGACTTGGCGACGCTCGAATGCCAGAAGTAGCCAGGCCAATTCGAAAGCAAGGAAGATAAGGCATTCGAAGCTGGCGACGTTGCCATAGACTCCTAATGATACAGCTGAAATACCAAACATAATCACGACCATTTATCGCACCAAACCCTTGACAATCGCGAATGTTCTTTATGCAACTGAGAATAAGGCACTTTTAGATTTGTAACACGACATGACATGGTCATGATTCAAAATGTCTTTGACTCGCTGTCAAAAGCAACTGTTTTCGAACAATTGAATGTAGCAATCAGTAACCTACTAATAATAGTATCGAGGTAAAGTGTCCTAAAGTCACATTGCGTACTTCCTTGCTAATTTTAAAGTGTCTATCTACTAAATACGCGCCACAGACGAATAGCAACGATTTATCGCCGGAACTTCGGTAAAGTGGAACCTTTGATGAGTTAATTACAAATATTATAAAAATATGATTTGTTACAGATAGTCCGTGTTTGTATACAACCGGTAAGGCTTTATTTATTTATAAGCAATACATTCATTTGAACACTTCTTGACGAAATATATTTTTTAATAGGTATTTCGAATTTCCATAATATTGTTTTTTAGTCTGTGAGAGCTAGTTTAAAATACATTAGGAGATAAATTGTAGACCTATTAAGTCCCTAAGTAAAATTACTTTTCAGTTTGTACTAAGTCACAACCAGCCATGTTGATTGACGATATCGACAGAATCGCGGGGAGCCAATGGATATAGGTGACGAGCAGTCGTCAGACGTTTGTCTAAGGGGGTGGCTTTATCCAGTCGAAGTCTTACAGCTATTAATGACGATTATAGTTTAACCTCTTATCTGTCGATATACATGTGAGACACAATAAAAAACACATTGTGTCCCGCGTAAATCTGCGTTCTGTTAAACAAGAGGTTAAAGATGAAGACACCTAATATACACTATAGGTGTTATTGTAACAAGAAAGTAAGATATAAGTATGAACGGATGTTTTATAATCACACAATAATGTGTGCAACGGTTCAAGGTAGCTGGGTAAAATTTTTATGAAGTAAATGAAAGTACACGGTATGCACCCATACCCATGAAGTACGGTACGGAAACGAAGTTGTAATTAATGTTTTGTTTAATAAACAAATTAAGTATCAACATTGTCGGTATGTCTCGACTACTTCATTATGATACTATGTTGGTCAAGTAATCGCGAATGTTACTACCGAGCGAGTCTCTTGTTCGGTTCTCACATCGGGAAGGGTTACTGGGATTTTTCAGTTCTTAGCCTTTCCATTACTTCTGGGTTACTTTGTTATTATTATGATAGTTATGGTGCCTATCTAGTGCAAATATCATTACTTAGCAGACGCTCATTAGTTAACGTATATCTTTGGGATATTTAATTTGTATTAATATGATTTGTTTATAACCATACTTTGTACCCATTAACTTGCAATCAGAGGTTTGATTGTCACAAGTATCCAGTATACAGGCTATCCCTGAAGTCGACGATCCAATGGGACGAGGTGATCGTCAAGATTCCAACAGGTCAAAAAATATTAAAAAATGCTAAGTAAACTTTTTTAATTAGGTACAATAAATTATGGGTAAACTACGAAAAAGTACACCCTATGCCAGTCTTTTGCCGATTCGGAGTCGCGGAGAACCTAACGGGTTACCGGGGCTCCGGCTCTAAGTGCAGTAGAAAAAACGGGGTGGTATTAAGTCAGTAAGAGTCTGACACTCCCTTCCGCCTCACCCAGGCGGGAGCAGTCATTCGATGATATTCACCCCTTAAAAAAAAGTGCCAGTCTTTTGACTCTTGCTTCTGTATTTTTTTATTTTTTCGTCTGTATTTTAGCTTACGTTATTCTAAATAGTGCTATGTAGAATATATCTATAGAATATATATATTTTAATAAATCTTGTCAAAGGTCTTGAGTGTAAAACAATTGCATCGCTCAAGTACTTTAGTAGATGTAACAATGTGCCTTCAAATTGTATTACGGAGCGGAGAACCAAACTCGTGACACACTGCAAGCGGCCGTAATTAGGTTTCGAAGCACTCAGGCCATTTCAACGGAACTCTTCTTATTTTTCTTCTACCCTTCCATAAACGCCATGGAAAATATATTTTACTATGAAAGTTTAACTTTTTCACTTCAATTTATTGTAAAATATTAAATACATGTTAATAAAATGATTTTTCCTCATGGCTCATGGCTCATAAATCTGTAGGCGTACATCTACACTACACCTGTACACAGAAGAGGAAGAATTTTATTGGTTGTATTGAATATACTCTGAAACGATTAGATCAATTTGAAAAATATTGAAGGCACTTTTCAAGAAGTACTCATAGATACTTTCTGTTCCGATATTCTAATAAGATCGTACCAACACGAACGTAATACAAAGTCCACACAAGTGAAACCGTGGGCGGAAAGCTAACCATCAATAAAACCAGATCTGACCTCCGAGCGAGGATTTCACATAGCACTACGGTCAAAGCTGTCCTCGGGCAAGATGAACCCCTTACTAGATTACCGGGCCCTTCAAAGTGTAACCCTAACCATGTTGTGTTTGTCCTATTTGATGGACCTCCATAGGGATCAATCAGTTCGTTTATGGAAGCACTTCCCTCAACAATTCACGGCTGACGTTTATTACCTACACACAACTGAGACGTGAACGGTTGTTACTTGTTACCTTACACATCTACGTATGTATATGTATAGCTTCGAATACGTTTTGACTTTTATTACTGCTATTAGTACTTTGATTTAATGAATGGTCTATGTTTTAATCAACGTGAGTGAATGGTTAGAGGAAACCTGTGTTTATTCAGACTATAGCATACTATATATCTGTGTTAAATACTTATTATTTTCTACACCCTCGAATTTTTGAAATCTAAAAAGTATGTCACTAGGCACGACCCTTGTAATAACATACCTGGAGATAAGAATGTAAACATGAAATATATACTGATTATGCTTTCACCTCCAAAATAATAAATAAAAGGTGTAACCTATGTCATGTTATTATATTTTCCTGTTACAAAAGAAAACACAATAGGTATGTACTTAAATAATTCTGGGACTTTTTTATTTGTTTATTCGGTTCCAAGGATGTTTCTTTAACAAAGCTATTAATTGTGCTTCCTGGAAACAGCCTGACTTAGTTACGATGTTAAAAATAGAAAATGAAAGAAATGTAAATTTATACTGAAAAATATTAGAATGGAAACGTAGCAAGGACAGCGGAAGGACTTGCTTCAAATACGACGGCGTAGCATGATGTCCTAAGTAGACTACCATGCTGGTCACACAGATAATGTTTTGTATCTAAAATTAATCTTTTAAAACTGTCTCGATACAGTCTAT